TCCCTACTGCAATTGCTTCCGCAGCTGCTGAAGGGCTGGCCTTTCCTAACACATACTGAAGAAATGAGGAAGAGGGGAACAAAATTTTCTTTTTTGTTTGTTTGCTGTGGTGACTTTTATGAATTAAAGAACTTAACTATAAATGTGATGCGCCCAACAGAGAGAAAAGGGATCTGCTAGCTGCAGTTCAGAGTCTGATGTAGTACCAAATCTCTTCTAGGAAAAGGGAAGACAGAAAATCAGTTTTATCTTCTTTTCAAAATATGGGTGGGCTTGTAGGGGGAAAGATTTCAGAAATTCAACAAAAGTGAAAAAAGGTCTCTGCACTGTTTCTGAAGGGCAGTGCCTGAACCAATGGTGTTATGCACTTCAAAAAGTAGTTCCCTTTAGCAACTAAATCTCTTGTAGACTATGGGCTACAACTCTCATGAAAGACCTCTTGGATTGCTGTAGTATTGTTATTGCAGGTTAGCCTTGTTGGACAGATATGCCTGGCTTAGTGGGCATGGAACGAGTCAAGGAAAGAGCACTCACTGTTATCTTCTTTTTATTTTTTTGTTAAAGGGAGAGCGAGGCAGTCCAGGACCAATAGGTCCTCCTGGAGAGAAAGGTGTTATGGTAAGTCACAAGTACTGTAGATTCCATAATTGTGTTACTTACAAAGGCACTTTGCTTTCCAAAAGAGTAATAAATTCTCACCCTTCTGACTGTGCAAGCCTTATGGAAAATAGTATTTATGATATGTTGTTCCTAGGAAGTTTCAATTAGCAGCTTTATCCCCTCTGTGAAAGCGACATTGCAAAATGACCAGCTAAATGAAGCAGCAGAGCGACTGCATTTTTTAAAAATGGCTCTGAGCAGCCTTACGTAAAAGAATTAAACACAATGAATTGAAAGAAGAGAGAGAGAAAGGAGGGAAAGTAAAATAACGATGTCCTGTGTAGACTGGGGTAACGCAGGTTATTCTAATAGATAAACTGGTAACTAGCATCACCTCTAATTCTACTGCACAGCAGCCAGCCCCTGGGTGCCACTCTTGCAGGAGGACTGGCTTCCTGACACCACCACTTGTCCTAAGTCAGGATGCAACATTTCATGCAGCACTGGACAGTCCAGAGGCCACTGTCATGTTATGTAGGTTGTTGGGGCACAGAAGTAAAAAACTATACACGTGTGCCCATTGTCACATTCATGTTGAAGTTCTTGAGGAAAAGTGATTAGGGTTTGGTCGTATGTTTGCTAGTGAGCACTGTGGTTGCTCCAGAATTTATAGAGAACACTTAAAGACTTAACTGTTTACAAGGAGACAGGGAGATTATAGACAACATACTACGTGCTGCATTCTGCGTCATCTGATGCTAATGTGGTGGGCAGTGGTCAAATCTCAGTGGCCTTACGTAGAGGCTGTAGATGTGGGCCTGAGTCTGGTGCACAGAGGAATATTCTTCTCATGGAAATGGACATTGTTGTTGAATATTTGCAGTAATTACTCTTTGGGCGTCCTTTGGCAAGGAAGAGACCAAGTACCCTCAGGCTGCAGACCAACTTAATGATCTGTGCAGCAAGAGACTTATTTTTGAAGCATTCTGTGCTTCATTAAATCTCTCTAATCTAGATTTACCTTCAACTAGCTGCTTTTGATCCAGGAAAAAAATCTTACCAGAGAGATTAATAAAGAAGGATTTATTAACATAGGATCCAGTCTTATCAACTACTTTTTTCAACTCTTAGTAATGCTTATTGCTATAGGTAAATCCACTGAAGTCATAGCAATGAGAGCCCTTCGCAGTAGTATGTCATTGTAGCACTCAGATAAGAGCTGTTCTTGGCATTTTGTCTTGGCCAGTTCTGCCAACACCAGGACATGTCCGCTTTATGTTCTCACTGTCACAGCCTTGACATGAGGATTTTGAAATTCATTTAGAACTCAGCAGCTTTTGTTTCAGTACATCCCTGTCAGCTAGTGCCTGTGCGTGGGAAAACACCTTAGGCTTTAATGATTGTTGTGATATACCCAAACAAGTATCTGTTTGCTAAACAAAACTTGGGGAATAAATTTTGCAAGATTAAACATTTTATTAACTTACCTCCAATTTTTCAGGTAACTATGTAGATTTGTTGTTGTTGTTATAGTAACAATTTTTATGAAACTGTTCTGTCTTTTCTGTATTTATTTCAATTCTAGGGCTACCCAGGACCTCCAGGAGGCCCTGGACCTGTGGGGCCAGAAGGATTACCTGTAGGTACAGAGTGGTGCTTTGATTTAGCATAAAATGTACCATTTTCAATTGTCTTTTTGCTCTGCTGAAGCTAAGAATGGTTTCTAATTTGTACTGGAGTCTATAAAACTGTCATGAAAATTTATCCATCCAGATACAAAGTCTGTTCACCTGCTCTTTACCAGAATGATGCATCAGAGACAGGAAAACTAATTATGTCATTTACTCATCTATTTAAAAATCACTCAGTTGAGACAAATAGGGGAACAGAATTTTTTAAGGATGGTTTATAATTGCAGAACAATTATATTTTTAATCCATTGATGCGTAATATAATTTAAATATATTATGTGTTTAGTTTCATTGTTAATCAAAAATAAATTATATTCTAATTTGCTGTGCATAATTGTGTTATAATTTGGCTACTGTGGGTCTTCAGTACCGACAAAAACTGAGTCTTCTATCAGAATTTATTAGGTTTTTTAACATAATGTTGCTGAAATACAAGTATCCTTTACAAATTTTGTGATGTTGGACAAAAGTAATTTATCCGACAGTTACATCATGATTTCTTATTCACAATAAAGTTGCATAGAGTCTCTTATTTAGATTTTTCTAGATAAATTGCACTGACATGATTGAATTTGAACTATGAGTGAAAGTGACTGATTTGTATTGGTTGCACTGACTATTGCTCAGTGTGCATGTAATTTTCTGAAATCTGTGTATAGAAGACAGTGAATAATAAGTTTATTTGACATGTAGGGACCTTCAGGGACAAGAGGACCACCAGGGCCACAGGGACCTAAGGGAAGAAGAGTAAGTAATATTGCTGTTTCATGCTATTTAGAGCAGAGAGTAGTGTGTTGCCAACATGAATCTAATGTGTAACCTATGCACAGTTGCTTCCTTTGAGCTCTATCCTCCAGACTCAAGCCATTTGTACTGAAATCAGACAGGTGATAGTTGTATTTCCATGTAGGG